CCGTCACCACTTACTGAAATTGCACTACTCATGCTCCCATCTTCGTGGTCACACAATCCGGCTCACACATTGGCAGAGCCAAGTGAACTGCAGGCCATGTTTCTTCGCTCAGCGAGTCTGCCAAGCATGTAACGCCCTGCCTGCCGACATGGACTAGATCACTTTTGTAGATGATTTCAAGACTCTTCTGGACCGTCATCTTACCGACCTGTATCGTGATTTCCCATTGAGACCACTACCTGCAGTATGGAATAAAATACACCAAACTAGCCCGAGTCATCTCTCTGCCACTTCTGACCAGGTGCAACAGTTAGTTCCTCTACCCCCGACACTCCTGAGTTTAATGTTGTTTGGTACCTTTTTTTTTTATGCAAAGCCTTTTCTACCCTTACCTGTATCAGAGGCCGTAATGGGGTGTAATGCTTTGAGCCGGTGTACTTCAGTTGAAACACCCCATAGGCCCCATGGATATACCACTAACACGCGAATCCAACACGCTATAAGGTTGCTAGGTCTTTTCATATGAACCGATCCTGTTTCCTTAAATCTTATGGGTCTTGTAAAGCTGCAGCATTTGCCGAAGAATTATCGCGTTTCAATGTAAGGTCTCGTTCTCCGGAAAAACGCCAAATGCAACCAGGTAGTCCAATGGTACAGAAGGCCAACCCAGGTAAACTTGAAACTTTCGGCCAGAAAATAGTTGCTTTAAGCCAATATTACGAGGTAAAGTTCCCTTTATTTCCACCATCGTCGACGTGCACGGAACAGGTCCTTCGTGGCCTTCATTTTGCGTACGTTTACATAAAAGATATTTTGATAGCAAGCGCGTACCCTGAAGAGAATAAATCACACATCTGAATGGTTATCGTAGGTTTTACACAAAAGGAAATAAGCAACAACAACATCAACGCGAGACGCAACGGGCCCTTCTCGAATCATTCCATTCTAATGTTCTATTCCAGTTTCATATTTACCTGTAATAGAGATGCAATGCCCTTCCGTTCATTGTCCTCTTCGTATGTCTTCAGGATAAGAGCCTTTATATTGCACGGATGACCGGCGCAGTCTCCACTGCTTCCCATGGCGCTTAATGTGATTTAATTATTAAAAATCATATAAATTTAACTACAGACAAACTTGATAAGTGAACTATGCGGAATTTATTATTTTCACCTTGCCCACTGCTTGCGTTTTCTGTGCCACCAAACAGCGGAAAGCAGAAGTGATATCTCCGCTGACGGACTATCGGAACCAAATGGACGTTTCAACTTCTAAGTCCGACGTGTGAAATCACCTTGAGATTTGGGAACTAAACTTATGCCTCCGTATGCCAAGCAGCAGTGATGATCTCCGTTTGGTGAGCATGTTGTCCCAATCAGACACTGGAGTGTAATGAATCGGAAATGTTTACGCCGCCCACGCATCGCACGTAAGGTCTCTCATTCGAGGTCCGGAACTGAGCCCTCAATGCGATATGGACAAAATTTAGCTGGGTATTTGATTTAATTTGACGCATTACGGAGGAAAGCTGGTGAGTAAAAGAAGAAGCAGATTGCATTAATACTGAAATCAATCGAGATATGGTTTAGTGTGCCTGAATCCGAGGCAAACTCCATCCAATGCGCGATGCGCCATGGTCGGAAACAGTGGGATTCGCTGTGTTAAACGACAGTGGTCCAAGCTAAGGCTCCAGAATGATGCGCCTCGTTCGCTAATAACACTCTGCACTTTCCGATCAAATGCTACTCCGGTTAACGCTTAACTTCGGATAATTTGCTGGTGCAATCCTCGTGCCAGCCATTTGCTAACAATTCACCCCCCAAATATTTGTGCTTTATTGAGCGCTCCTTTAATAACATCAGAAAAGTAAAAAATCTGTTTGACTTTCGTACAGAAAAATATATAGCAGTTGCCATGATGAATTACCTGAAAAATATCTAAAATCTCTTTTTGTCGACGGTGTCTTCTAGCTTCAGACATCCAGCTAGCTAGAGGGTAAAACGCAAACTGGGATACATGGTTTGTTATCCATGAAGTAATCTCAAGACAAAAGGTGAGCGCTAATTCGACATCAATGTTACCGTTATCATGGAACTACAAAGATATTGGTCCCATTGGGAAGTTATGTACCAAGTCAATAGCAGAGACGGCGATGGAAGTGGAAACCCGGCACCAAATAGACCAGATAGCACTGAACAAGTAGGTCTTATGTGCACCAGTGTCAGCAGAAAAGTCAGAACAGTGATACCGTTAAAATTACCCGACTGGTGATTCAGTACAGGGTTTCCAGCCACTTGCTGACGCTGAGCACTTTACACACCAGCCCATAATGGTCCTGGAGCTTGTGACCACAAATCAACGAAAAAGACCAGCAGCGAACCCAGTAAAGATCGGCATAACTCTCACCTGAAGACCCCACCTTCAACAAGCTTCTACGTTTGAGTCCCTTTAACAAATACTTTAAATCCTTTAATAAATCTATTAAACACTTTCACTTGTTTATTTAGGATTTTCGGGTGAGGATAATCAAAATGAGACTCGGCTGATGCGTTGAATTCTTATGTTTTCACGTGTATGTTTCACCTTGTTACATGGATGTCAACAAGCGTAGCCGTTCCTGAGCATGTGGATGCAAGATATCACAATCGTTACTATATCTACTCATTCGGAACCGGTGAAATATCGCGCTGTAATCTTCCTGTTAATGCCACCAAGGTTAGTTGAAGGCTACATTGTTTGTCATGAAATGTCTTCTTCCACTAGTTGTAGCAATATTGCAATGATCGTTCACGGCTTACTGGTCTCGCGTCTTCTCTACTTTAACATGGATCTTATGTTACGACCAGCCATCATTAGATAAGAAGTATGGAGTTTCCTCCGACAAAAGCATAGGCTGCATCGGAGTGGCCACGGATGAAGCTACTTTGATCTAATTAGGATACACCAACTGCGTAATTAGCCGAACGCACATGCCTTTTAGAAGACGACATTGTAGCTAATGTGTTCCAAAAGCGTACTCTCCGGATAGTTGTGGAAGGTAGTTTTGATTATCCAAACTGGTCCTTATGTCCAGAATTGTTGGCCAATGTGTCCTTGTCATATGGAGAGTGCTCGAGTGTTCAAACCACTCGTTCTTAATACAAAAGTCAGTCGGACGTTAGTTTACAAATTGCGTATTCCATCCAAAACTCGTGAATATCGTCTTAGTACAGTTTCGCCGCTCTTTTGGTCTTCCGACTAAAAGCAATATGGAATATTATGGGTTTGGCCATCTCGCGTTCACACGTATACTGATAGCCATATGACAGAATCCTTGAACGTCATCCTAGTCTACTATGTGACTTGCTTGTGTTATACCGAATCCTAAGGAACCGTAGTTCCGAGTGCCGCTCCAAATTCAAACTTGCGGGCCAACTATTGATGTTGGCCCCGTGATATAACGCAGTGATCAGCAGAAGGAAATGCTTTTAATTCTGATCTTATGGTTTCCGTGCACAAATTATACAAACTACCATTCGATATAACTAAAGTTGGCTGGAGAACATGAAACCTAGATGGAGCTATGCTTAACAGCTGCTTTATAAAACCGAAGTGCATGGATTAGAACTTATGACTTAAATTATCAACAAAGCTTTATCTTCTTTTGGCAAGGTTTATTTCTGAGTATGTGTCTCAGTCAGATATTTCTACGGGCCTGCTTAAAGTTTATATTTTTTCCTCGTAACAAGTTACCATCCCGTCATCATTCCTTTGAGCGCATACTGACCCATTCCGTATCAAATTTGAGAGTCCTTCATTTGCTTCAATAAATCCTGAGTTGGATAGTTTGAAACATATCTGAATGGTATACGTGGTGTCTAGTTTCCATTTGAAGATGAAATTAATAGATGTCACCAGGTTTTTAAGAATGTACAGTACAGTACGTGTTCCGAATGATAATCAATTACGAATCTAGCTAAAGCAGACTGGTTTTTTACGATTACAAATGTGTAGCCTGCCGAAGCTTGCTTCAACATTATGGGTAAAACTAGAGGGTTCGGATGAGGTGGGGAAAACCGCGTAATGTAGGACTTTTGCGTAACGAAGCTGCATACGTTAAGAACAACTGGTTTAATTCGTTGTGTGTGTAACAGTCGTACTTGGTGCTACAAGCTCATCCATGAATCTTTCGTAGATCATAAGAACAAAAAGCAATGTACTATTTCATTTTGTCTACTGGTACTAGACGTTACCACTGGTATTCAATAGCGTGCACCCAATATTTATACCTTCTCATTTCGTTACATCGCCCCCCATTTTTTGCATTGGTCGCTTAAGCTGTATCGCGTGCGTCACGTAACACGTTCCACGTGTACACTCGTATCGGCCATAGCCATGGTGGCAAGGCGATCACGTGATTTCACGTCGCGAACGCAGTCCATGAGTACAGCTCATGCGAGTTCACACGCGTAACGTGTCAAATGACGCACGCGATACGGCTTCAAGCGATGCACACATTTGGGGGAACGACGCAACGAATTATTAAGTTGTAAGCATTATGAAAACAGACTAAATTTTCCATACGAGCCAAAGACAGCTTTCTGGCTTCTTTAGATAAGTATTAAAGCTAATGCCAATCTGAGAAGGAAAATGCTAATTAGTTTGACGAATGACGCCTTGTTAATTCAAGCAAAATGGGTTTATTTCGTTTTATTACTAGCGTACATTTCAGAAAACCAAGGTCAAAATAATACAATACGATCAAGTTCCAGTCAGCTGCCGCTCAATCAATATAAATCATAAATCACATGCTAATTAAAAATGAACTGCTTATTCGAGGAAGCACTTGTCGAAAGAAGGGCGACTCGTCAGTCCCTAACTTCAAGTTAACCGTCTCTAACTAACCAAATCATTCGAGACTATTCGTAGCAACAAATGTAACAGTATCATCTTGGTAGATTTATTTAAACGGTAAATCAATGACAAATTCGCTCTTTAAGTGTGTATCGCACAGTCATTAATGGCTGTCACAAATAGCTCGCGACCGTGGGGAAAATAGCCTTTAACAATTTCTCAACTGCGGCTTGGTTCTCCGGCTTCTTCAAAGCAGATTTGAAAAAGTCAATGAAGATTGGTTCTCCACTCTACACCAAAAAGGGACCAGACATTGTCAACATTAGTAGTATAAACCTACCATGAACTGATCCTTGGTCACATTTCGTGTAGTGTGAGCTTTACCATTATCTTCTAGTGCTTTTTTAAACTGCGCATCGTCAGCGGCTGCTTGAACAAATTTCACAATATCATCAACGAATGTTCTTCCATAATATTTTATCCCATCAGACTGGAAGACATTGTTTATGTCTAAGCCCTGGAGCCGCGAGAACAGAGCAATGTACTGCGGATAGGCCGTGAGGAATCTGAAATAATCAATGATCTCATTTGTGCGGAAATGAAAGCAAATAAAGCACATTTTTAAACACCACTCACTTTCTGTAAGCCTGCACACCGAGAGCGATTTTGTCCGCTTCGGTGTTCACCTGTGGCCCCAATTCCGCGAGCAAACTGTCAACTTCGGCCTTTGTTAAAGGAGGCATGAGTCCGGTATGAATATTTAGGCGAAGTTATATTATTGGAATGTGCATAACATGTCTATTTATTTGCCTGAGTCCATTGGGTCCTGGCTCTCTGTAACCAATCAGGGCCGCCGTCTACAGACGTCCGCACTTCATGCTGTCATAGTTAACACCGTTGGGGGGTCACAGTGTGTAATGATAGATCAAACGCAAAAGACAGTGGAAAAGTAGACGAGACACTTTGGCTTCGCAAATGATCTACCTGATGCAGTGTGCACCTTGGCTACGGATAACCAACAGAACGTATTCCGTCGTGAATGTGTCTATCAGCTGTACAGTCGATCACATGTTTGAGAGCCCATTGGTTAATATGTCAAAGGATTAGTTTAGATAGTAGTTAACTTGGTAAAAGGGAGCTGCTTTTGTCGATGGATTGCACACTTCCCAAAGAACCAAAGGACAACGTAGCTGGAGATCTGAAAGTGTATTCACAAGGTGTTAAAGCTATATGCCACAGGCTAAGATAATTTTTCATTAAGAAAATCCCATTGCCAGCCACACGTTGATGACTTGTCAGATGTTACCTTAGTGACGGCTAACTCGGTGTACCGTTATAACACCTGTAATTTGAACAAAGAATCAAGCATTAGCTAAGTACTTTCTACTCAGGCGTTCGTAAAAATTTATCGGAGAATTTAACTCATGAAATACTGTACAGGGTTAATAATTGGGTTAAGATGGGAGCATAGTTACGTTTGGCCTTCCATTATGAGTGCTTCTGGTTATCGTCAGAATTAATCAAAGCTAACGAGAGGGAGAACTGTATTCATGATATATTAAGTAAATCGTTCAACAGTTCTACGGCATTAAATAAATAAATAAATGATATAATTCTCGACAAGGATTAAATCAACATTGATTTCGCTGAGCACGTAACACAGCAGCTCGTACCTAAGGGAGGGGTCCAGCGGAAAAGATAAGTAGAAGATAATTAGCGTTGCAGAACAAATGCGAAATAATTTGCTCTAGAGGTACTCTAGGGCACATTTCCGTCTTGGTGGGTGTGATCTTCTTTGGTAATCAGGATATTTTTACCTTTAGAAAACACGTTATTGCTACTAATAAATTTGGGGAGGGCAGTAAGATCGGGCAACAGGAGAATGAAAGATCCCCTGATATTTATACTATATCCATATTGCTCCTAATTCGTACGGGGATTCACTTGACAGGGTAGGTTGCAATATACCGATCGCTGTTTCGACGTTTAGAAAGGAATGTATAACGTATCGGAACTTCATCCCTGACTGGATTGCACGTATCTCAGAAGGAAGGCTGTTCCACAATATGGAGTATCGATTTAGGAAAAAGTTGTCAGACAGTTTTGTTCGTGATCTTTTCACTTTTACTTTATTGTGATTGTTATTTCTGGTGCCATAATTTGATACTTATGCTCGTTGTACCCATGGGCACGAAGAATGTATTTTTTGGGTAATTATGTCAAAGAAAATGAAAAGGTTAAGTTTCATTTTTCGCAGCCATAGTGCATCACGTTTTAAGGCAACGCAACGATTCATGTAAGATAGGGTGGTGGAATAGCCTAGAAGACGCTTAGTAAATGATCGTTGAACACGTTCCAATGCCATACGATCACACATTCTAGAATTGCAGTAGGTGATGGAGCCATATTCAAGCAGCGGGCACGTTTTATTCTATACATGGTGTTAATGGATTCTTTTAATTTAAATGTTTTGAACAAAAGCTCAATGCTTCGGCGGGCTTGAGCTGCGGTGTGTCCTGCGTGTTCGGAAAAGTTAAGGGTGCTCGAGTAGTGGATCCCTAGGTCACGGATAGTGTGGCAGTGGGACAATGGTTTACCATCTATAGTTAGCGAACCTGGTGTGATGTCACATCTGTAGGATACCACGTGGCAGTTATCAGCAGAGAATATCATCATCCATTTGGAACTCCATGAGTCCAGTGTACGTAAGTTATGCTGGATTACGCTAAGCGTATCACTGACCTCAGTTGGATTAAAAGTGTAAAACATTTTGATGTCATCGGCAAACAGGAAAGGTTTGCCGGAGGCAAAGATATCAAAAATATCATTTACGTAAAGTAGGAATAAAAAGGGTCCCAGAACACTACCTTGTGTCACACCACTGGTGACAGGCTTTGGCGTGCTTGTTTCGTGCTCTATCTGAACAACCTGGGTTCTATTAGATAGGTAAGAATCAAGCCATGAAAGCAGAGGGTTGTCTATGCCATATGCAGTTAGTTTGGATAAGAGGTGGTTATGAGGGACGCGATCAAATGCTTTGTGCATATCGAGGTAGATGACTATCGCTGATGGACCGTCATCGAGCGAAGTAGTCAGGAAACTGAGAAAGTCTATCTGACATGTTATGCAGGATCGCGTGCTTAGGAAGCCGTGTTGCGAGGTATTGATAAGATTTCGCGACATCATGAAGTCCACAGTTTTGAACTTTATGTGACTCTCCATCATTTTAGAGAGGATAGAAGTATGGCTTATTGGGCGGTAGTTGCTCATTTCATGCACAGAGCCTGACTTGTAGCGAGGAATGACTACAGCCGTCTTCCACTGTGATGGCGCGGTACCGATGTTCATGGATAGAGAAAAAAGATTCAAAAGTAGTACAAGGAAGTCAGATCCACCGTATTTTATAAGCGTTGGTGGTAATTTGTCAGGTCCGGCATACCATGATGAATTCGTAGAGGTGATAAGTCAATTTATATCACGAAGTTCAAAATCAACTGTGCAGATCTTGTCATCAGTAAGCAGAGGGATAATGTGCGAAGGAGCCGCAGCTGTGGTGTTAGAAGTAGAACAAAAGTAATTATTGAAATCCCTGCTTATTTTAGCTGGATTGTTTGTTATTTGGTTACCAGAAATCAGGATGGATGGGGTTTCCGTATTCTTGTTTCTATATTTCATCAGCTTGGTGAGTTATAGGTTTTATTCATGCTATTTAGCGCCCGTCTTTCTACGTCCATAAGGCTGATATGCCGAAGTCTGTCAAGTTGAGCAAGGATTTTTTGTTGTAGCAATACTAGGGAGAAGTCATTTGTTTTCAAGTAGTAATTTCGGAGTCGTGCAAGTTTGCGTGAAAAATTTCCGGGGGTAAGCCACTACGCTGCGCAAACTATGTGAGTAAAGCGCGTTGCTAATGTGTACATAGTTTCTGGTAAAATTTTAGTGAGTAAACCGTCCCAAAGGGCACGTCGATCAACCCCTTCGAACGCGCCTTTAACGCCAGAAACACAGCTGCGGTGTCTCACCGATAAATATGGCAGTGTCCCGAAAATTGAACTAATGTGAAGACGTGATCAATGGAGCGACGATTTTGACGAAACCAGACTTGCTGCTCGTGAAACTTGCTTTCACGTGTGCTACACGTCTATGATTAACAACAGACGTGACATTCTTAGAGGCATTTTAGATCAGACTGACCCCTTTATGGTTACCGCATGGAGAACGTTAGCCCCTTGAAAATTAGGAATATTAGCGGGCGACTCCAGTCTGCTGGGATAATTTCCTGATCCCACACCTTCGCAAATAACTTGTTCAGACCATTTGCAATAGCAACTCCCCCGGTTTTGAAGAGAGCTGGACGGAATCTATCCGTTCTCGCGGCCTTATTTAATTTCAACTGTCCGGTCTCACGTTCGACTGCTGCGCGTGAACTTGGGTTCATAGGATGGCCCAGAGACAAATGTAATCAATGCCTGAAGGAGAAGCCAGTAATTTGAGTAGATTAAGCTGCGTTTCCAAGTGTTCTGTCTAATGTGACAACAGATTGACTAACTGTAGCTCAGCAGTTCAACCTCGTCACTTATGGTATTGGTAACGCTACTTTACCTTCAGCTCAACTCTCATGTGAAACGGAATAACTTTCAATGGTTACCAAGGGTACCTCCTAGTTCCATCTCCAATACACGATGATACCACCAACGCTTCGCGGTCTCTCTTTAGGCTAGCATATAGTTTCGCCCTGAGGTCTTTGCGGGTCGCGTTGTGTTCGTTCCGAGACGGATTGCATTTGCGAGCATCCAAAAATTCCGGAGACCCAATGTTCAACGTGTTAACTAGATTTGCCACATAAAGATATACCTGCTGCGAATAAGGTCTTGTGAATATGTGATTAGTAACTCTGCTGAGATCAGAAAGCGCTTACTAAGTTCGGATGCCAGCCATCTTTGATACGCATTCAGGACGTCTGGCTTCGCCAGATGGCATGCATCTATGCCCTCACAGAGGCGCCGCAGGGGCCCACCGAATCACACAGTAAAATTGGCGCAAACGAATGCGTGGTCGGAGTCCCCGCTCTTGCACCAAAGTAAGCGACAATTTTGGACACAGCCTCCAGAGCGGAAAATGATCGCAAAGTGGTCCAGTTGCTTCCATGGCTGGTTTGAGGCCGGTGGGCACCATGTCACCCTACTGCAGTTTGTGTGTCGGATGTTAGTATTTCCAAGAAGGAGAGCAGAATGTTCGCACACGTGTAGCAACTGCTCACCGTTTTCATTACGGGAGCCTACACTGTGTTGGACAGCTTACCAACTTTGGCGTTAAATCATCAGTCTGCTCCACAGTATCCCTACTTTTTCTGTAACGGAGGAGCGTGCTCTGTTGGTGATAGAATTAACCTTTCCCCGAATATGTGTTACAATTTGTGGGCGCGTAGGCCGCAAAGACAAACGGGCACCGGATGCCTAGCGTGAATTCAAAACGCGGAACTAGCCAGCCAATAAACCGCGCACATCAAATTGTTGATTGAGATGACATCAACTAGGACATCTGCAACAGCAGAATGAGAGCAATTTCCACACCGAATTGAACAGTATTCGAATCTGCGTGATCTGAAGAAAACGTAATAAGAGCGCTCCTCCGTTATCGGTTGTGGGCGATCGCAGGGTAATCATAGAACTCGCATCTTACGCGCCGGTCATCGATAGGCAGCAGATGTCGATCGGTAGGGTCTCTAGTTTTCAGGTAAATGATGCTTGCTTGCCAGTTTGCAACAA